TGATCAAAGCTCTTCGGCAGAGATTGGAGCATGATATCAACCTGGGTTTCCCGTCGATAAAACCTCCCATAACCTCAAGCTCATTGAGTAGCGCCATAACCTTGAGAGCATGCTCCCTTACGGGTATGCCCTCTGCCATGCGCGTAGTCATCAGAGCACTCATGGCCTCTTGCCTAGCAGCCCTAGACTGGTGTCCGAACAGATTCCTGAGATTGAGAAGTATATCTGCCGCAGTGTTCATAGACTGATGCTGATGTTGAAGAACAATTGACATAGATGCCAAAATGTAACACTTCGCCATCTCATCAGCCTTTTTCCACCGGGCATACTCCCCTTTCTCCTTCTCAGGAGCATCAGTCGCGGGCTCTGCCGGGCAAGCCTCAGTAATCGCAAACTTATAACCCTCAACAGTCAACACAATGTCTAAGTTCCTCTTCATTCGATGTAATTAGGGCCAGCAAGTTGATTTTCTTTTAGAATGACAGATAACGGATTGAACGACATGATGAATATCTGAGAAACACGAAAATAATTTTACAGATTAAACACATTTGAATTTGACTGCTAATATTGATATCCTCAAAAAATTATTAACTTAAATTCACCGACATCTCAAAACACCGTGAGTTAATGCATGATGCGAGAGCAACTCTACACAACTCAACATTCGCAAGAGAATGGCTTTCAAAGGCCCATTAATTTCCATAAGTCAAAACAAATTCATGACGAATGAAATTAATAGCTGGTCTCCATTTGGCCATGCATCAAATTCAGGGACCCCGAGGGGAGTTATAAATAAATCGCATTCTAAGTGAATCCCATTTCTCGATCCTGAGTTCATATGAATTCGATTATACGTCATCCGAGGGGAAGCCCGTGCTCTCTCATAAGACTCCCTCTAATCGTCTAATTAGAAATTCGTCCTGGTAATTTCCTACAATTAATTTTAGCGATGTCACCCGAGGGGGAGCCCATAACCGCAATTAATTAATTTACCGACAAATTAGAAATGGAGGCCTTAGGAATTTTACAATTAACTTTAATTTAAAATCCCTTCTCACACTAAGTATAATTTAAATGAGGATTTTTACTTATTTAAATATTTATGCAATTTTAAATTAATCCTATGTAAATGCAGTAATTAATTAACATGCATAATTAAATATGTTATTCTAAATTAATCCCGTGCAAGTACAATAATTAATTAACATGCATAAATAAATAAATAAAAAATGGCATAATGAATTTAAATAAATAAATAAATCGACTATTATGACCATTAAATATTGAGTTCCCATAAACAAGGAAACCTTGTATATTCTTTCCTTGTTCAACTGGAACTCCCACTGCAGTAGAATCCTTGTAGATCTT